TATAAAGACAAGTAATTCAAAACAGTCTGCAATTTATTAATTAACAATAAACTTACTTCTTCAACAACATTTCGCTCGTCGAATGGTTCACGAGATGGTGACTAATTGAAATGGAAGAATACACAAAATGAGAAAAAATACTTAAACCTTAAATATTTTATCATGGAGTTTTAACTTTGTTTTAGTTTTATCTTTAACGTATCATGCAGCCCACTCTACAAATATTTGGTTATCCAAAAAACACACACTTCATGTATAATAAATCCGATTTTAAATTGCCAACGCCGAGAGAATGTCGAAAAAAATATGTTTAAAATTAATCTTCCACTAGAGTACCACGATTTGTTCAAGCCAGGAAAACATTTCAAAACATATTGGTTTGGAACAGTATAGTATCAGATGATCTTGGATATATGTTTAGCCAACTTGTTTAGACTGCACCATTTGATTTTGAAGAAATTCGTTTCTCAATGTTTGCCCCCTTATTTCAAGAAGTTTTTATACGTAGTCATTAGCTTTCATAGGAGATAGACAGAYTGCCCAGCAATTAATGCCGGCTCAAACTTACTTGATCATATATCGTTTCTTCAATAACTGGCTCAGGTGAATGTGGCTATAAAGTACATAGTAAATCTATTATTGGACTTGAATACATAAATGAACGGGACAGACAGGGTGATGGAAAAATCTTGTTGGGAAAAAATACTTTCGTTTCCAAGAATTCATGTGTGAAATGAAAATACAACGAATAATGAAACTTRCTCCTCGGTGGTAGGAATTATGCAGAAACGTTTATAGCGACGCTTTTGCCSATTATRTCTTTGATTCAAACTAATTARGTTTTTGACTAGGCACGGGGCCCTTTTCGTAGTGGCCAAAAGCCGACTTGCGAATTTTAATTTTTGCCTCAGTAGTCACACACAAAGGAATCAAGACGAGGCGCTATGCATAAAGCTCAGTCATTCGTGAAAAGAATGCAATAGTTTTCACGATTTACTGAGCTTTAAGCACGGCGCCTCGTTTTTGCGTTTGATTGCTGAAGCGAAATTCGCAAATTGGTCAATAATGAGTAAGGGACTGCGCAATAATAACCAAGAGGGGGGAGTCGTAAAACCAGATTTCTCAAGCAGAAAATTAGTTAGAAACCCCCCTCCGAAGCACAAGAAAATAGCTCTTACCCCCCCTCTGCTAAATTAGAAATAACGTCCCCCTATTACACCCGATTTCAAATGAGTGCGAACTCTCGAATTTTTTTTCGGACGCTAAACTTTCACTCGACCGTCATTCACTCGACCACTTGGTAACCTGGCACAGCTTGAAGCGGGTAAAATTATCCAAGTATAAAAACCATGGTTAATGTATGTCTGTGGGCTAAATTCCTACAGTTTGTGATCGCATTACAAAACGAACTTATTATAAAAACTAGTTTCGGTTTACTTATAACTTTCTCAGCTCGCAATTAC